CAGCAAACACTATTCATTGCTCTTTACTTAGCCTTAGCCAATGATCGTGATACAGTGTGTTATTTCTTGGATTTTCAGGAAATTAAAGAATATCTAAGCATAACACATTACCCAGCCATGGATCTTTTGGTATCCAGACAGCCAACACAGTCACTATAATAAGTCCTTATTTTAAACTGGATGTGATGGAATCCTTGCCCTGGAGTTGCCTTGAGATATCTCAGAAGTTTATAGGCTGCCTTCAAGTGTACAACTCTAGGATCCTCCACAAACTAGCTTAGTATCTAAATTGAGTAGGCCAAATCTGGCCTTGTTAGTGTGAGATACATGAGCCTCCCTATTAGCCTTCTGTAGACTTTTGGTTTTGGAATTGGCTCTCCTTGATCCTTGGAGAATTTTGTGTTTTGATCCAACGACAAGGTTAAAGCTCTTCTTCCAAGCATCTTTATATCTTTCAACAAGTCCAAAGCATATTTTCTTTGGGTCCCACGAAGACTCGCAAGTGGATTATACCACCATACTGACAGTGGGCTTTTTCTATTGTATGAGAGACATCAACTGATTCTACTACTCCTTGTTCAGCAAGTGATGTTCATCACTGCCAGGTTGCTCAATTGGTTCATTGGTGGACATTTGGTTAACACTAGTTTGTTTGGCTTTTACTCGCGGCTTCTACCTCTTGGGTTGACCCCTTAACTCATAACAAGTTTTAATTATGTGCCCAGTTTATTACAATTGGGACAAACATGTATGTTTGGGTTCGCCTTGTAGCACCCCTCTAGTGAGTACCCAATAATTCTGTAGTATACAGAAGTACTTTTTCTTAAGGGTTTGTGGTTTTGGCAGGCTTACCAGTTTCCCTTATTGGCTGTAAATTCTACAGATAATTAACTCTCTTCTTGTTGGATAATAGAAAAAACATCGTTCATGCTAGAAAAATGTCTCATTATCAGTATTCAACCTATCATTCCTTTATAGGAATCATCTAAGTCCATAAAAAAACTTTGCTATATAATCTCTATGGTGATATTCCACTACAATTTTCAGAAACCCCACAAGTACAATTGGGCATTGGTTTTAGAAGGTCAAATTTGAAGGTGAACTGACCAAACCTGCAGTTTAACTAAAAAGTTGTATCTGATCGAGTTTGAGTCGGTTGGATTAAGCATGTTTGGCTCTAAAATGTCATTCCTACATGGCAATATACCATTCTACTTTATTTACCTTTTTTTTCACAACTAATATATGCATATATTTATTTTACATTTTTTCAATTTTTTTTGTCTTTTTATTTTTTATTTTTTTGTTTTATTCTTGCTTCTCTGACATTTTCTTTTATCTTCTTGAAGTTTGATTTTTTAATCTTCAAATTCATTACTTTTATAAATTTCAGTTTGAATTTTTATAATTCACAATATTTTTGCTATTCTGAACAATGTTATATTTTTTTTTCTCATTAAATAAATTTAGATATTTATGTTTTATCTTTCAAAAATTTTCAAAATTTGAAATTTACTATTTTTATACATTTTAGTTTCAATTTAAATCACAATAATTTAATTACTTATAAATAGTGTTACATCTTTTTGTTTCTTATTGAATAATTTATGTTCATGTCTTATTTCTATCCAATAAAATTAAAAACTAATGTCTCTAATCAATCTGGGCCTACTACCTCTTTTTTCCTTTCTTTCTTTTTTTTTTTTTTTGATAAAATACATCATTTTTCTCAAAATAATAGAAAATTATCGCTGAATTGAGCCTGAAAGCATACACACTAGTTTAAAACTTGGATCCAGGTCAAAATGCTACAAATCGATCACACAAGAAATATCAAAATAGAAAACGGAGAAACAAAGCTGTTCCAGAATCTCTTCTATTTCTTGGAAAAAAATCAAAGAGACATAAATGATTGGCGTTTTATTTTTGCTGGCCTTAAATTAATCTTTTAAATTTGTTTATTTTCTCTTCTTTTTTTTTTTTTTTTTTCTGTTTGGCCACTGAATTAGTGTAAGATAAGAGGCAGAAAAACCATTTGGTGATTCTACATCTTTGAGGATTTATAAATTTTTAAGAAATTTAAATTAGGAAAATTAAATAACTATGTTAGATATAATTAGTATTTAATTATGATTTATTTATATTTAATTAATTAAATGAACACTATAATATTAAAAATAAATAAAATAAAAAACAGCTTGTTGACAACAATCATTATTTTTATTTTTAAAGAAAATGAAAACACAACAGAAAACGTACTTTGTTTGCAAAAACATAAAGATCTTTTCAGAATAGAAAGATGAAAATATTATGGGGAAACCGGAAGGGTGAATTAACTTTTGTTAATTTTTAAGATATAAAAATACAATATGATTTGTATGTTATTGCTTGGATTATTTCCAATCCTCAATAATGTCCAGAGGCATAATAATATGCGTGTGCGTGTGTACACATGTAACTAGTTGCGGAATGAGAGAATTAAATAAAATGACAAGCTCCTAACATTATACTTACGAGCTCTTTGATGCTGCCCAGCTCCATCCCCTTCATGCTATTTATCTTTTACAAGCTTCTCCGTGTCAAAAGGGAAATTCAGATTTTAGATTAAATAGAACAGGCATAATTCCAACAACGCCTGAATTTTACCATTAAAAACTAGATTCGTCAGTTTTATATATATATATATATAGAGAGAGAGAGAGAGAGAGAAACCAGACCTTACAAATTTATATGAGAACAAACCTACAATATTTTCTAATTTCTCACCACTTGCGATGCTTGAACTGTTGCAATTAGTTGAGCAATAACATTTGCATACTGAACAGCTGTATGTTGAGAAGTATAATGGTCTGAGAGACCATACTCCGAGAAGTTTGGTACCATATGCATAAACTGACCTGGCAATGATCTTTTTGACAAAGCTTCTAGCCATATTTCAAGGAACTCATCCATGATTGGCCTGGCTTTTTCCATTGAAGAAATTGGAAGATACTCCACCTGAAATATAAAATAAAACAACCAATCACTTCTGTTACCGTTACTCTTATGGATTTACTTCACTAGCCAGGACATTTTGCAATCTTAATGATACAGGGAGCTTAGACAGAGAACAAATTATTAATAGCCTATAAGAAGTGCTATATGCATATCCCCAAATCTCCATCTAACAGAGGCAACTTCAGTCAGAACCGCTACATTTACAGTATCGTCTAACAAAAGTAACATGTGGCATTATGTACTCGGGTTCATAGTGAAAGACACAAACATCGGTACCAAAGAAAATGAATTATAATCACCGCCTATAAAATAGTCTGCGCCCATCACACTAACATATTACATAAACCAATCAGATTTTCCATTCAAGACGATACTATGTGAAAGTTTAAAAAGAAACAAATATTTTTAATCAATTAGATCAACAAATTAATTTAATTTCAATACCTCCATAACTATTCCCCTCAAATTCTCAGAATGAGTAGGCGCTACTTTTCCTACTCTTAGTTGAAAGTCACCAAGCTGATACTGAAACCCCTGTGCATTTCCATAAGACAAACCTTACAGCCACAAGTTTAGCAGGACTCAATTTAGAAACACTAACTATTGAATTTGAAAAATAAAGTAAAAAATAACCCCATAATCAAACCTCAAAAATAAGTGCCACTCTTGATTTGTAAGATTGCAACTTCTCCATTATCATCTGAATTGAGGAATCTGCCTCCAGAACTATCCTCTGGGCTCTGATCATGAAGTAATACTTGTTTGGCTGCTCTTGTAAAGATATTCCCAGAAAATCTCGTGGGAACTCAGATGCCATTGACTGGTCTAGTATACATATCAGAATAAATGTTTAAACATGGCAAACTCCAAAAAGGAGGAAAAACTAATGTGAAATGAAAAATATAAAATTTTAGTAACCTTTTAACATGGGTTTGTAAAATGTCAGAGTAGCTTTCCATCTTCCTTCTTTAACCCCATTAATGCTCTCAACTGATTGTGATACTTCATTGAGGATTTGGCTGTTCACAGTTGATCCTTGGTTGGGTTGCCAATGCAAAACCCTAGATTGAAAAAAAAAAAGAGCAAACAAAATACTCAACTCAGTAAATTTAAAAAAAAAAATTCTTTCTAATGAGAATTGAAATTACTTTCAGTCTATGTTTGGAATATATGAAATTCATTTTTGTAATTCATTTGAAAATTCCCACTTATTTTAACTACAAAAGAATATAAATTTCTTACAGAGTGATAAAAAAAACTACCTAGATAATTTCAAATGGAATGAGAATAAATTTTATATTCTACCAACCTTAGGAGAATTTAAATTTTATTGCCTCAATTCCAATCAGAATTTTCTAGGAAACTTTTTTTTATTATTTCGCAAAGAATTTGCATTATTCATAATAGTTAAATAAGTGTAATTCTCAAATAAATTTCACAAACAAAATTCATTTATTCAAAACATAGCCTTATCTTATTATTTTGGGTTAAATTTACCATTTCACTGGCATCTTTGCTGCAGTAGCTAATCCCAGGGACTTCCTAACGATGTTGGTAAACCCTTCTACAGAAATCATTCGGCACATTGATGAGAACAACATTAATAGAAATATATTTTGTGAATGGAAACCTCTATACTACAAACTCAAAAACATAATATGCAAACTAACTAAAGCTTTACAAATCCAAGGTACGTATTTATACAGACATGTTTTACAAGTCATTCATGCTATTCATGAAAAATACATAACGAAGACATACAATACAAGAAAGGACCAAGCAACTGAATAAATCTGTGAGTTATTAACAAATACAGGTTATATACTTACAGTTAAAAAAATCCAAATCTTATTTCAAAAAAAAATTACAAATAGTGTATTCATTTACAGGAAAATTCCATAAGCTGATGTCACAAAGGAAATATCACCAACCAGCACAAAATGATTGCAAGCAGTTGAAATAAAAGCAACTCAAGTAAATCTCTCTACACTGACTTCTATGCATGTAAACAAACAGGGAAACAGTATGGTCATGCAACTTCAATACACTTGCTACCTTCACCAGATATATCCATGGCTTTCAAAAGCAATACAAGGAGTCCTACAAAATGTAATCATAGCTACTTCAATCTCCGCCAAAATAGAACAAATAACAGGTAGACAATAAATAAAGAACTTGAGAATAAGAAAAAACTTCTCTTTCCTTCTCACTCTACCTTTTAACCAAATTCCCTCACATATTCTATGAGCAAGTGACCGAAATTCAGCTTCTGCACTACTTCGTGACACAACAGATTGTTTCTTACTCCACCAAGTGACTAAGTTTCCCCAAACATAAGTACAGTACTCAGATGTAGATCTTTTGTCAGTTATAGAACCCGCCCAATTAGCATCTGTGTAGATTTCAATATTCCTATTCATTGTTTTTTGGAAAAATAGTCCTTATCCTAGAGTTTTCTTAAGGTATCTTAAGATCCGATATACCATATTCATATGAATATCAGTAGGTTGATTCATGAATTGACTTGCAGTACTTACAGCAAAACTGATGTCAGGTCTAGTATGAGTAAGATATATAAGTTTGCCCACAAGTCTCTGATATCTTTCTTTATCAACCGGCTTACCCTTTTTAAATCTAACTTTTGTAGTTGTTTCCATGGAAGTTTCTGCTGGTTTACACCCGAGCATCCCTATTTCTTTTAGCAGGTCAAGAACACATTTCCTTTGTGACACAGATATCCTTTTTTTAGAACGACCAAATTCCATTCCCAGAAAATACCTGAGTGCTCCAAGATCTTTTATCTCAAACTCCGTAGCAAGAAAACTTTTGAGTTTTTGAATTTCCTCTATGTTATCACCTATTAAAATAATATCATCAACATAAACAATTATGATAGCTTTCTTATCAGAGGCACTGTTCTTGACAAACAAAGTATGATCAGACTGACATTGCTCATAACCCATATGTTTAACTATTTTGGTAAATCTGTCAAACCAATCTCTCAGATATTGTTTTAAACCATAGAGTGCCTTTTTGAGTTTGCATACCTTGTGAGTTTTATATGTGGTCTCAAGGCCTGGAGGAACTTATATATATACCTCTTCTTCTAACTCTCCATTGAGAAATGCATTTTTTACATCAAGTTGACAGAGATGCCAATTAAGATTAGAGGCAAGAGAGAGTAATATTCGAATAGTGTAGTGCTTAGCCACTGGGGCGAATGTCTCTTGATAATCTATCCCATAGGATTGAGTAAAACCTTTAGCTACTAGACGAGCTTTGTACCGATTCACACTTCTATCAGGATTGTGTTTTACAATAAATACTCATTTGCACCCAACTTTATGTTTTCCTGGTGGAAGTTCTGTCAGTTCCCAAGTCTTATTCTTTTCAAGAGCCCTAATCTATTCTTGCATAGCACCTCTCCACATTGGCAATGCAAAGGCTTCATGAATGGTTTTAGGTTCAGTGGGGCTGCCATCAAGTTTGCTTATATATGCATGATATTCTGAGGACAAATTGCTGAAGAAATGTAATCCTGTATAGAGTGTTTAGTACAAGATCAAGTTCCTTTCCGCAAAGCAATAGGTAACTCAGTATCATGATCAATAATAGTAACCGTATTAGAAATTGTGTCTGAAAACTCATTACCTGATGTGTTCTTACTGTTTGGAACTGGAATAGACTCATGACAATGTGTAATTGGTTCCGAATCTTTATTAACGGGAGTTTTGTGTCTCCTAATATAAACACGTAACTCTTTGTTGATAGTAGTAAGTATAGGTTCAGTTTCAGATTCTTTGATACTGGTTTCAAGAAAATTTGGTGAGTACTCGGGAATAGTGAAGGGAGAAAAAGTGAGAGGTTGTGTACTTATATCCCATACTTGATATTCCTGATTAGAACTCTCCCCCTGAATATCAGTAGTGGTATAGAAGGATTGGTTTTCAAAAAAAGTGACATCCATAGTGTTGTAAAAATGACGGGTCTTGGGACAAAAACATTTGTATTCTTTTTGACTTGATGAATATCCAACAAAAACACATTTAATGACCCGTGGGTCAAGTGAGGTGAGTATGAATATGAACATATGCGGAATAACTAAAAACTTTATAGGGAAGAGTATGAAGAATATAAGATTACGAAAAGGTCCTGAGGAGAGTATCATAGGGTATTCGAAATGAGAGAGTTCAGCAGGGCATACGGTTTATCAGGTATGCAGTGGTGAGAACAGCCTCTCCGCAAAGAAATTTTGGAAGGTAGGTAGCGAACATGATTGATCGGGCTACTTTAAGAATGTGTCTATTTTTTCGTTCAATTATGCTATTTTATTGTAGAGTATTGACACAGGAACTTTGATGGATAATGCCATAGTCAAAAAAATATTGACTCAAAGTAGTTTCAAAGTATTCACACCCATTGTCTGACCTCACTACTTGAATGTTGATGTGAAATTGATTTTGAATCATAATGTGAAATTTTTTAAAAATCTGGCCAACTTCAAATTTTTCTTTCATGAGAAAAATCCAAATAATTCTATTGTGATCATCAACAAAAGATACAAACCATTTTGTCCCGGTAATATTATTGACCCGAGAGGGACCCCATACATCACTATGAATTAATGAAAAATGTTTTGTGGATTTGTAAACAGAACTAGAAAATGAATTTTGAATATGTTTGGACAGCTGACATACTTCACATTGAAAGAAAGTTGGATTTTCATTTCGAAACAAAATAGGAAATAATTTTTTCAAGTACACGAAGTTAAGATGTCCTAAACAGTAATGTCATAACATGATAGGGCATTCCATATTTAAGTTGTTTACAGATTTAGGATTAGTACATACTACATGATGAGTTTGTCTACTAAGAGAAGAGTTGTCAACTTGTAGTAGATAAAAACTCGAATCCATACTAACATTGCTAATCGTCTTTCCCGAGTCCAAGTCCTGAAATTCACACAGTTCAAAGTTAAATGTAGCCACACAATTCAAGTCATGTGATAATTTACTTACTGACAGGAGATTGCAATCCAAATTTGGAACATATAGCACAGAGTACAAAATTAACTTGCATGTCAGTGCAATTATTCTTGTTCCTTCGACTTGGGAGCTAGAGTCATCAGCAATTTTAACTGAGAATTTATTTCTGCACTTATTATATTCCTTGAATAATGAGATATCCCCGATCATATGATCGGAAGCACCTGAGTCAATAATCCATATTCCCCTTTTTGTGGAATAAGTTGAGAAACTAGAAAAATTACCTTTGTGAGCTGTAGAAGCATTACTGAAAACCATATTGGGTGAAAACAATTTTTGGAGGAGGCTGATTTGTTCAGGACTAAATAAGGGGCTTCCAATAGAAACAGCTGCAATGGATCCCTCCTCTGTTGAGATAAAATTGCCCCAATGAATTTCCTCCATTTCCTGCTTTCGTGTTTTCTTCTTCTCAACCGATTCCTTCTCAACTAGTTTCCCGTAAAGTTTCCAACATCTTCCACGAACGTGTCTCGGCTTCTTACAGTATTCACACCATAGCCGTCCCTTTCGCTCAGTCACCCGACTTGTGAGAACAGTACCAGTTTCGAGTGAGAGAGATATGCTTTCAACAAGGTTAGGGTTGAGTTGTGAGTCACCCATAATCACTTTCTTCCTGCTTTCTTCGAGTCGCACCTCCAAGAACACCTCTCTGATGTTCGGGAGAGGTTTGGTTCCAAAGATGCGTCCTCTTACCTCGTTGAGGTTTTTGTTCAATTCGAAAAGAAACTTGAAGATTCGTCTCTGTTCCACGATGATTCGGAATCTCCTGGCATCCTTTGGGCAGCTCCAAGCATGTTCCTTCAAAAACATCAAGTTGCTGCCATTTTCGAGTAAGAAAATTGTAATATTGAGTTACTGTTTTTTCTTTTTAGCGTAGGTCGTGAAGGTTTGCTTCGAGTTCGAAGATGGCAGAAGTGTTATCGCGAGTGGAGTATAACTCACAAGCTGCGACCCAGATATCGTGCGCAGTCTCATAAAGGAGGAAATTTTCGCCAATCTCAGTGGTCATTGAGTTCACCAACCAAGACATAACAAGATTGTTCTCAACTTTCCATATCCGAGCATTTGGATCGTTCGTGGGAGGAGGTGAGAGCTCTCCAGTGAGATATTCATCTCGGCCTCTCCCTCAGATAAACATCAACACCGAGAACGACCACTGAAGATAGTTACTGCCATTTAGTCGATGGCCAATAATGAAATATGGAGCCTGATCAGCCAGAGCATGGCGGTCAGGCACCAGAAAAAGAACTTCGGGCGAAGAAGGGATCTGCTCATCCATTGCCCATTGAATGCAAGAGGGATGCTGAAGAATTTGGATCAGATTTGCTCTGATACCATGAAGAACTTGAGAATAAGAAAAAATTTCTCTTTCCTTCTCACTCTACTTTTTATTCATCGATAATCAGCAACATTTTATAAGCAAAGGAAGGAAGAAAAGACAAAAACTAACAAACTTCCTTAGTGGAAGGGGAAAAACAGCACAACCTGACAGAAACCATTTTGTTATATTGACAGGTTGTAAAAAAAAGAAAAATATAGGAAAAATAATTCTACAATAAACTTTCAAGAATTTCAGCAGGAAAAAAAAAGACTTTTGAGAATCCAATTCTGTCATTGTAACACATCACAATGTGACTTCAGAGACTCTCAGAAAAATTACAGAGTTGTCTGCCAATAATCCAATTCCATATTGGGATTAGTCACCCATGAATTTATTTGATTTTAAGCTACTCTTTCACGAAAGTAGGTTCTGAACAATAAACAGGATACAAAAGTGTTTTGCTATTATGGTCCCAGGATCTGGTCATGGAATGTCATATGTCGAAACTAGGATTTGGGACTATTAGAGAGAACACACTTATCCCCAAAGCTAAAGGACTATAAATAGGGATAATCATAAGCATGGATTATCCCCCTAACCCACTCCATCCAGGCAAGTAAAAATCTGAAATGGATGGGGTATGGAGAGGTTATGGTAAAGTTACAAATCCACAATGAATGTAGAGCATATATAGATTTAATGATATACCTGCCCCAAACCCGCCCATCTTGCCTTACCACATATATGGTTAACAAGACGTTATTTTTATTTTTATCTTTAATTCTACTCAAAAATTCAAATTTTGAATAATAAATATATAACATTGTGCACTTATAATTTTTTTTGGGAAATAAACAAGTATACTTATAATGTTATTTTATATTTATTATTGAATGGATTATGTTTAAATATTATTTTAAGTTATCTCTTGTTTCGATCAACACAATCTTTTATTTAAGTTCTAATTATTTATTTATATATCTTATAAGATTTTCTAAAATTAAAAATAAAATAAATATAGCAATGAGAGGTAGAAAGATCTACACGTGGGGCAAGTGGTAGATAAATAACTTTTTACTAAAACGGCGGGCATAGGTATAGTGGATCATTCCCAATATCACATGCATAAAAAATTTTAGAAACAAACAAAAGATGTATACATAATGTGTGTATCTTTTTTGAGACAATGTTATAGGTTGGACTTTGGAGTTTCATCATAAACACAAATAGCGGTATAATGATAACATGGAAGGTAGTGTATAATCAAGTATAGAACCAAAATTAAAAGCAGAAACTGACAATTAAAGGCAAGCCAAAATGATAACCCAGACTATGTAATCTTGATACCAATATTCAAAAGCCAAGAGCTAGAGTACCACCAGAACCCACATTCCGAAATTAAAAGTGCCATGCTAAATCCAATGCTTAAAACAAGACAGGATAAAAGTCAGAACAGAACTAAATGAATGACCTCTTAATAGACTTGTGACAAGCTAACTACGGTATTCTGAACAGAATAACAGTAATATCGAACCATTGTGCCTGGACTTAGAGCTTCAGTGAATAGAAATAAAAGAAAACAAAGTCCTCAAATCAATATGGCAATACCAATAACAAACAGTGAGAATAATTCCAGTAACTTATGAACAAATTGCATGACCTGCATCAAGACAAATTTAATACAGCTTCACAAAAGCAAAATGATGAAGCAAGATGCAGTAATATCAATTCCCCTCTAAATAATGTGATAAACAAGATTCCAGCTATCAACAGTTATTCTAATTCCTCATCATCCTCAGCAATTGGCAGAATAAATTCAGTTCCATACTCAAATCATTCAAACAGCAAGCATATTGCTTCTCGAAATCGAAAAGTTCCAAGACCTCACAAGAAGAATTGTAGATTATTGCAACACCCCGAGTTGTTATGAAAACTTTTCAAAAAAAAAACTCATGGAAGTAGGAGCCAATTAAGTTGATTAGAGGTATCCTATAAGGCGAAGTGAGCCATTTACTGCTGATACACTGGTTACGTCTAAATCCTAGGGGACATAACTTGGACTTTTGACAACCTTTCCTTGCATTTTAAGCTCAATGTAAAACCCAGTCTGTTAAGAGAACCTAGTCACCACCAAAACTATCGGTTACCTATAAACACCCTCCAACAGCAACCCCCTTATTGTCAACTCCCACTCACAATATCCCCATCAAGGATGGCTCAGTATCCATCAACTTCAGCCCCAAGGATTACAAATGCTCTTAATGTCTTTGCCATGATCTTTCAAGGACCAGTCCTACCACTCATTGCTTCCATGACCACAAAATAATCCTCAAAGAAGGCTCTCAACCAGTTTACATCTGCCTTACAGATATGACAGCGACCAAAAGCTAATTACTGAACAACTAATAACTGAGATGCTACTAACCGATCATTGAAGAGAACCCTTATGCATCACCGTGGTCCTTGTCAAGAAAAAAGGATTAAATGCTATAATCATCAACGGCACCAGGCAAAAAACACCAAAAGAAAAGGAAAATTTTTATTTTCAAAACCTTTGGGATTTTAAAAATAAAGGAGTCGAACACTAATCTTATTGGAAGCAAGATCAGACACTAAAAACTTGCACTGGTTCAAATCAACTACCTAGGTCAAAATACATTTTCATTTACTTGACTTCGGATAAGTTGCAAAGATTTATCGGTATCATACACAGGTGCAAGTGTGTAAGGATGATATTCATAAATCCAATTATGTTACATACTTTACAAACTATATTAGGGAGAGGGGAATGAAAATGCATGCTAGCAAAAATCAAACAAAAGAGGGCAAAAGTTGGTCTTCCTTTTGTCTCTCCTTTCTTTCATTGCTCGCTTTCAATTTCTCATGAAAATTCCAAGTACAAATTGCCATTGAATCTTAACATATTTTCCTAAATTACAAATTAAAATGCGTGCATACATAACAGTCAAATCTTAACATATTTTTTCTTTTTGAGGAATTTAACATAAACAAAACACATTGTACTGCATTCAGAAAATGAGCATCCAATTGGAAAATGTTACTCATGCTTAATTCATAATCACATAATTTGTGAATATCAGTAAATGCATAAGCTTTAAACAAACAAAAACCATTGGCTCATTTAACTGTCAAATTACCCTAGTTTGAACTGAAAATTCACTCTCAATGATTTGATTATAATAGCGAATGAGACTTGAGGATGCCACTAAAGTGACCTATGTGCAGAATCTGGCTTACCCCAATTTCAAATGGTCAACCAGCATTTACCAACAAACACCCCTATTTTCAATCAAACAAAACGTGAAGATGGATAATCAATATTCAACAGGCGCCGAATTAAATTTTAATTAAGCAGGCCATTTATGTCAGATCAAACCGAGAATCAGTATATACAGATGGATAGAACAGGTTTACAAGGAATAAATCCATAACTTTCGTCCAGAAACTTAAAACAGAATAAAATCAGAACAGAACCAAAGAAACAGGACCAGAGGGACTTTTCTTAAACCTTAACAGAGCTGATGAGGACGAGAGTTTAGAATCAACATTCTCCATTCATCTTTAAAGGTTTCAGCACATAATATAATCTCGAGGTAACATTAGAAGAAAGGAAAAGAAAGAGTAGAATCAAACTATACCGTTTTGAGCAAACTCACAGCCTTATCCAGTCCTTAACCCTTCCTTTCAATTCATTCTACCACTGTTTCCTCTCTAATGTCAACCCAAAAGGAACCCGAAACTACCCTATATTTCCAGAATCAATTACTCTTTCTTCTTCTGTTTCTTTTTTTTTTCTTCTCCTCTGTTTCTCTTCCTCTATCTCCTCATTTGCACTCTTCGCCTCTATTTTTTTCCTTCACAGAAAAACCCCTCTTCTAACTCTCAAAACGTTCACAAAAAGCCCTTAAAACACTCTCCCAAAACCTGTCTTCTTCTCTGTTTTCTTTTTCCTAAAATCCGTCCCCCTTAGCTCTTGCCTCGGCTCCTTTTATAGCCAAGTTCATCAGCAACCGCGCTCCAGATCGACTGCTCCCCTCCCTTCGTGCTGGTCCTTTACTCTCTCACGCCATCGCCTGCATTCCTTCTTCATCGCCATGCTCTATTGCGTCTGACTTGATATCTCCTAGAAGCGTCAATCTATTATCATCACGCCTGCTTCATCGATCTTTCACGTTTCTTCCACTCGGTTCTTCAGCTAGTGAATTTCACCTACTCCCTGCTTTACCCTAAAAATGGAAAACAAAACCCAAGCTTCCTGTTGATGAAGGAAGAACCGAAGAAGGAAGTTAGAACCTCACCGTTTGGGAAAGCATTGTCTGGAATGTCGTGTGGGCTAAGCTGAAGAAGAGGACGAGGAAAAGAGGCTCGGGCTACGCTACTTTCAGGCCCGGCCGCGCGAGAAGAAAAGAAGAGGTGGAAGAATGAAGAAAACAAATGGGCTGGGTGTGTTGTTCGGCCTACTGGGTTTAAATAAAATTAAAATTAGGAGGGGAAAACTTTCCGCCAATGCTTTTACATACATATATATAATACGATATTTAACTAATTTAAATAGTTTTTTGTTTTGATTTCGTTTTTTAATTTTTTCTTTCATTCTTTCTTTTTTTCCCTCTTCATTTTATGCTCTTCTTTCATTTTGTATATTTTTATTAATTATAGAATAAAATAAAATAAAATGAATAAAAGATTGCAAAATTAGGATATTTTCCTTTGATTTCCATTTTAATTTTAATTAGGATATGATACATTGAAGGCCCACTATTAACTTGTGGCAATGCACACGGACTTATCAATACTCCTCATCTTTTCAAAGTCGTACGAATTATTTGTTCAAGTCCTATTGAATATAGTTTGTGTTTATTTGTTCTACTAATATTTTAATTTGCAATAGTAACAATGAATAGCATCTCGACCATCTTGGTAAGGTACTTAAACTATTATTTGTTATGAACAAATTCCAATTGGGGACCTTTCATTATGTCTTCAAGGGAATGGTAGCAACATATAAAAAAGATTGAAGTTATCCAGTACTGACCCCAAATTAGAAACTAGATATAAAAAAGATTGAAGTTATTCAGTACTGACCCCGAGTTATAAACTACAGATTGATAGGTCTTACGAATTACTACTAACGAGTTATTCATAATTATAACTCTATAAACCATCATCTTGTTTAATTAATGAAAAAGACTCATTTAAATGGTTATGGAAGTATAAAGGGCATTTGAACGATTTAAACAGACCATGATTATAACCCTTGTCTTGTAAGTACCTAACTTCAATAAATCCTCTATAGCTTATAGAGATGCCTCATGAGCAACAATTGGGTCAATCCTTATGCAACAAGATTTCTGTGGCATATATAAGTAGGGCACTGGCTCCTAAATCACTTTGTAATTGTATAAGATAATATTTGTTATTCTGTTTTCAGTTAAAAATTCATTAATAAGATTGATCAACAAAGTCTAGAATATCTTTTGGAGCAAAAAAGTGTCTAAAACTAGTCAAACCACTAAGATAGTTAAGAAATGTTAAAATTATTGCAAATATACTCTTATGAATATTATAGGCAAAATTGTTAAAACACATTCTTGATGTTCCCACCAAACAGACTAGGTAGAAAAGATACGTGTAAGTTATTAAGTTAATTTCATTTGTAGCCACTAATTTCATATTTGCAAGACCATGTCAATCATCCCAGATACTCTTTTATACAAGGATTACTTAGTGCAAAGACAAATTAGTTAAGATAATGACACCACCCTCAAGTAAGAAATGTTGCATCAATATCATACTAGTCCTATATGAGAAAATGTGTAAACTACTGTCAAAAAAGTCTCATTCACACTCTATTAAAAGGGATTATAGAGGAGTTTAAGAACTTTATTAGATCTTACTCTAATTGTCTTAAAGGAAAAACACATTTTTCAAGCTTATTATGGCTTACTGCAATTATTACCATTATTTTTGGGTGTTTTTACTCACATATATAAGCATTTCATTGAAGACCTTTCTGCAGCTTAAAAGAAATATATTATCTTTATAATGGTAGACTAGCTAGAAATATGCATATTTCATAGGTCTTGATAATCCTTTTACAATAGAATAGTGGACTTATCATTCTTAAAATAGTTTCAACCTCCACGAAGAACCAAATACAATATTATGTGATTGGTACTCAGTTTTTATTAATAAATTTTGAAAAAAACAATTTCGCTTCCATGGATTGAGATCCATGTCTCTACTCATCAGCCACAAATGACTATCATGTAGAAGCTGTCAATCGATATATAAAATATAATATATAGCCATGGAAAACTACAAAGTGTATTATAAATATATATATATACAACTGTATTGTGTCTACAATATATATAATCTACATAATATATATATTACATACATATAGTTAAGGTTTAATAAATCCAACTTTTAGTGCCTAAGTTTGCAATAAAATGATATTAAAGCAAGAATATACCTTCAGCTCTGCCAGAACTCCAATTGCCACTGTGTCCCTTAAGAGGAAACCCTTTTAGGGTTTTTCACATGTCGGCTGAAAAAAAAAAAAAATTAAGGTTTTGATGGGTGGAAGAGGGGTTTATATACCCTGATTAGATAGATGCACTTACACCTATTTTGTGCTATAGCACAGCCCACGTATGCAAACTACTACAACAAAATTAAAACTCATAAGACTTCTACTTACCCATGCAAGACAACTCTTTTACTTGGTCTCTCATTTGTATTTCAACTAAGATTCAAATATCTTTTTTGTTGGTCATATACACAAACCTTAATTTTTTCCTGATTCTAATAATGAAGTAACTGTTTGTGTCTAAATTTGCAATAAAATGATATTGAAACAAGCATATACCTTTAGCTCCGCTAGAACTCCAGTTGTCATCATCCTGCAAGAAAAAACTAAGGCTTCGATAAGTGAAAGAGGGGTTTATATACCCCATTTAGATGGATGCACTTACACCCAAGCTACACCACTACACAACCCACACATCAAACTAGTACAACAAACTTAAAACTCATAAGACTTATATTTAATCGTGCAAGACAACTCCTTTATTCAGTCTCTTTTTTCTATTTCAACTAAGTATTTAAATACCTTCTTCATTGGACATAGACACAAAACCCTAATTTTTCCTTAATTCCTTCTTCTTTTTGCTTTTCCAGGATTTAATTTTCATCGATTTCAAAAGCCTTTTTCCTTATTTTTTACTTTTATTCCCTATTTTCTACATTAAATTTGGATGCTCAAATTTCTCCTAATTTATTAATTTAATTGACTTTTTAGTAGCTTTAACCATATCAAACTTTGTTTGTTCATCTTCCCTTCAAAGACTCTCTTCCAACAATACAAAATCAACACCGTCTTCCATTACTGCTATTAGTTTAAGGCTTGTCCATGTGGGCTTTGGATCGATAAGGATAGAGAGATTTTGGGATTTTATTTCTGATTGAACCTTAATTCTCAAAATAGCTAGATGAGGTCAAATATTGTTAATATTATCTTAGTTTAATTGAAAAAAATCTTCTAAAAATTCACTAATCATCCTAAAGAATCTTAACATCCAAGCCTTTAGAGGGGTTCTATCAACTTTAACCCAAACAACCTTCGTAATGTTTCTTCATCTTCACACCTCCAACATTTTCAAATTTAGAAAACCATCTTTTCTAAG